TTCGCCAATTTCTGAGGAATTTTAATACTAATTAAACACTGTATATACATATAAAACTTTGTGATGCAAACTCTATATGGCTGAATCAATGTGGGTTATATAGCTCATGTGAACACATAAATGGATAGATGAGAATAATCTTTGGAAAGTGTATCTCGGAAGCCTCTAGAGACAACATATAATTAATCAAAGAGAATAATTTCAAAAACTTCAGTTATTTCTATTTTGGCTTTGTAGATGTTGACACTACATGAACAAAGAGCAAGAACAAAGCAAGCAATAGATGGATATATGCTGATAACTTTGTAATGACCATGAACGTGAGCTTTTTTGGGTGGAATGGGTCATGGATATAGTTTTGAGGTTTCGTTAGCCCATACCGCAAACCACTAATTATGGGGTTTGGATTAGGCTGAGATCGGCTGTAACATTTTTGCATAAATCACTAAAAAAAGATGTTAAACGACCACACATACGTACAAGGGATTTTTGAAATAACCGAAGACTATGAAATTTTTATTGCTAATATATCCATCGCTAGTTTATGATCATACTTTCTCGTCTTGTTGATCCAGAATCTTTTAAAAAGTGTATCTCGAATTGCGTAGAACGTTTAAAAAGTCTAGGGCAGAAATTCATTCCATCACTAAATTTTCACAAATAAATAAGTGTGATGGGTATTCCACCGCACACAAAAAAAATAGTTCAGAATTAATTAAGTTAATATTGTATCATTATAATTGTTGGGTAGAATCCTTTAACGCTTATTTCGTAGTATGCCATTATAATAATATAAACTATTATATTTCATTGCCTTTCTACTCATCGCAAAATGATAATTGGTTAATTTGGATTAGCATTATCCATTTTCTTTCTTAAGTTTTTTATGTTCAAAATATTTTTATAATTATAAAGAATTTGAGTAAATTGCACGAGCAAGTGATGTAGTATAATATAAATGTCAACTTAGAATGGACCAAAAACGGTAAGCAAAAAAGAGGAACAAATTAAAAGAACTAAAACCTTGTGGTTTGTGTTGAGATCAAAGAGAATGAGGAGTGAGTAAGTGTGGCTTTGCATCATCTCCCACGAGGGCCTTCGCTCCCATTTCCCTCAATGTCTCTCTTTTTTCATTCATTTATGCTTTCAGTGCCACTTTTTGTCCATTTTCCCACAAATTTTTAAAGTAAAACAG